TTTTATTTGCATGTTACGACACTGCTTGACATGTTAGCGTTTTTTTAATGAACACTTTATTTGATTGGAAGTGTTGATTTTTGTACTAAAAGTGGTAGTTTTTCATAAATATTTTTTATTATTAATTTTTATTAGACACGTAATCTTCGAAACTACTTGTTGTCAAATTTTATATGTATATTAGGGATATCATGTAGATAGTTAAGCGCTAACTAAAATTTGGCTAATCTTCAATGAGAAGACGTCATCTCCAAAATTTATGATAGTATTTTTTTTCCTCCATTTGTGGTGTGTTAATCCGTTAGAATTTTTACTCTAGATATCCAAATTTTTGGAAAAAAAAAATCAAAATTTTCTAACAATATTTGGAATTTAACGTTGAAAATGCAAAATGGAATGTTCTGAAATCTTGTAAACATTTTAAGGTTACTGTAATCATGATAAATCGTTAAGAAACATGTATTCGTTTATCCCTTTCCAAAACATTGATGACGTCATCCCAAAATTTTGCTGAATAAATCCTCTCTGAAATTTGCAAAATATTGTGATTCTAGATTTGTGGTTTATCAACGCACTCGTAGTTTTAAAATTATTTATCCAGGGTGACTCAAAAAATTAAAGAAAGAGTCAATATATTTTATTGATTAAATCAGGAACTGCACAACCGAATTCTTTAAAATCTGTCAGATGTTTTAAACTTATCGTAAAATTCTTGACGTCATCTCAAAATTTTGCCGAATAAATTCTACGTAGAATGTGCAAAATATGATGAGTCTATACTTGCGATTTATCATTGCATTAAACGTTTTTGAATTTATTATACATTATAAAAATTAATGAATGAGTCAATTTATTTTATTAGTTAAATTAGGAACGGCTGACTCCATTTTCCGGAAAATTTTCTAAACAAAATTTGAAGATGCTCCAAACTGTTTTATTGACTTATTTACTGAAATTGAGTTTTTAAGCTCTAAACATCTATTTTGTATTAAATTTACAATTTGGTCCAAAATATGACTTGCGTTCGGTTGTCAAAATATATCTGTTGGTTGAATTTTTTGAAAACATTAATCATCTTGAAGAGACTGATGATGATGAAGTGGTTTTTTACTAGTGGAGTATTAATCTGATTCCATTCTCAACACGGAGGATGCGATAGAGGTAACGACAGCATTTCCTATGCAAATTTAAGGGGTATTGGTCACTTGTGCGCCACGGTTAGTTTACCACATGAGCTGGGTCCAATCCCCAAAAAGGTCATAGGACACTTGCTCGCAAATAGGAGATTGTAAGGGTTGTCATTCCCTGCAGGTACCTAGTTAATTAGAAAAACCAGCAGAGCTACTTTTGCAAAAAGTGTTTCTTATGGGTTTGTAAAAAAAATAAAAATAAAATAATTTCTCAAAAAACTGTTTTATTTCTTACAAGATAAATCTATTGGTACAAAATTCAAGAGCAATAAAAATATTTGTCAATATACCAATAACTAGTTTACATTATATAAGTTAATTCACGATGAAATCTAATCGAAGTAAAATTGAGATAAAATCTTTGTATTAGGTAGTATGAAAATTACCCGTCAGTTGGCAGCTCTGACTAGGACAGGCAGCAACTGTTTTTGCTATTAACCCTTCAAATTATATGCAAATCTTTCTGACCGCTGCGCCCAACTGTCCCTTATCTCCGAGATAGTTTGTGCGCTACTGTTCGGGAAACCCTGGAAATTGAAATTGTTATGTATATTTTCCTGAATTTTTCTGTACGTATGTAGATGCTTCCATGAAGAGAGATATGTAACAGGACACATGTTCTCGTTTTGAGATTAAATTGTTTACAATGGGCTTGTAGAACTATTTTTGAGTTTATTTTTTCACTAAAGTACAAATTTAACTGTTTAATCGTTTAATCATTTCTATTTCAGACTTTAAAAATCCTGAATAAATTCGTCAATTTCCTTCCTATATTTGCTTGCTTTTGCAGCTATCTTATACATAAAAGACAGTTTCTAAAGTCTGATTAAACTAATATTGATTCTGGTACTCGAAGAAATTAAATAAAATGTAATTATTCATCCTGAGCAGGAAGTTGGTGACGTTATCTCAAACACTGATTAACTAATTTTCTATTAAAAATACACTTCATGTTTTAGAAAAGAAAAATCTACATAATGTGTGAATTGACTTATCCAAGTTTTGTAAAAGTCTCGAAACACCAAGGTTAGCATTATAATCAGTAACGTGGATCCGAATAATTGTTTTAAAAATTTTTAGTAAAATATCACGCTGATGTGAACGGGTAGTAAATAAGTTTATACGGTGATCAAATTAGTCGAGGAAATATTCTGCACTTTTTTTTAGTCAGCCCACTGGTTTCCAATGATGTATTGATAAACTTACTGTAGACAATCATTCTATCACTTTTCTAAATGGACAATGTTCATTACCACACCTAGATTTGTTATGCTATCCTTCGTTAATAATGTCCTGCCTTAATGAGGCTTTTTGTTGCTTTCTGTAGTATTAATTGGGGTCTTTTTAGTGGAATTCTAGAGGTTTGTCGTATAATGTTACCCTGTAAAGGTTAAAGTTGTTTCGTGCATCTTCATTTATTAACAAATTTCTAGTACATTAAGGGTGTTTGTTCTGCTTCTGGTAAATTAATTACAGCGTTTAATTTTATTTTTAGATGAAAACATCCACTATAATCTCAACTTTTGTTATAGTTTATATAAAAAAATAAACCTATAACGCTTTATTGAGTACAAAATAATGATTTATAAAAATAAATTTTGGGTAGCTCACGTTCATAGGATCTTTGTTTATGCATCCGTTTTACTATACCCACTACCGTCTTCAGACTTGATTTTGTAAACCACAACTGAAACCAACTGTTTAATTATGCGTCCGGGCGTCCATAATGTTTAATTAAATTGATGTATGCTAATTATTAATGCGCTAGTTTAGGAAAATTAAATCTACCAGGAAGTTAGGTTAGTTGGTTTGATGTACACTAATATTTACGTATTCCCTGAGGTTAATAAACGCCGCAGTAATTTGGGGCTTTTAAGGGTTCGGCCATTATTATGAATATTTAATTCTTAAGTGCTCTGCCGACATTTCCATTCGAATAAATATTTTCCACCATTTATCCTCCTTGCAGCTACGTTCACTAGCAAAATATTCGATCTTGTGGCCATATCTTCTCCAACCTCCTGTAACAAAACTAAAAATTATGAAAACGAATAAAACCAAACCGTTATTTCAGAAAGAGAACAAAACCCGCCGTTAATTTTAATTATTTAAAATCCTCTTTCTTCAACGCATTGCCCCCTGTTGGCCATTACACGCACATTTCGCACCGAACCGCTATTTGTAACGATTTGCCCAAATCATGGCAATTTTTACCTATTACTCAGAAAGACCAAAGTGAATAAATGGGTTTAAATCGAGAAAACAATCAAGAGACCGTGTTTATAACCAGGGGAGCTTATGACGTCAGAAGTTGATGAGGTCAGGCACAAGATACTTTAATATTTATCAGATAAATAAGGTTGTCAAATTATGCAAGAACCAACGTGGAAATGATGGGAGTAACAGAATAAATGGGAAACGGAAACGTAGGTAGGAAAAACTTGGTTATTTATTTTAAATTAATTTATTACAACCCACCACTGACCCGGAAATGATCGGCATTCAGGCAAGACTGCTATTATTCTCTAAATCTCACCATATCCCCAAGAGCCTAGGTTTTTTAAAGGTTATGCATGACTTTTACAGTTTAATCAAAGACATGACAAATATTTCAATGGCCAAATCTAATCTGAAAACTTTTTTATCACACTCTATATATCGGCATTATCAAACTGTGGTATTAAAAGTGCAGAATAAATCTGAACTGCCACAAGGGATGGTATGAGCAATTATACGTTTACCACCACGTTAACAAAAAGTGGACGTTAATAAAATGGGCAAGTACGACTCAAAGGTACAGTGAGAATTCAAAATTTTGTATGCATTTTTTTTAAGCTTTGTAGAAGGATGGTGGGCGAACAATGACAACATGACTGGCAGTTCATATCAGTATTTTCATTAGTCTTATATGGACTGTGATTGACGATATTGACTTATCTTTGATCTCCTGAATCACAAAACGCTGGTGATAGTACTAATGATGTTTTAAGAAGATTTACACATTTTAATGAAATGTTGCCAGAACTGTGGTGTATTTTCAGCCCACTGTATATATCTACGGGTGCTTCCGTAGAGTGTTGAATACTGTGTTTACGTTACTCAATATTACTAGCTAACTATTAATGATTGAAGCATGTTTGGGTTGGCAATTCTGAATTATTGGTAGCAATGTTAACATGCCAGTTACAGTTGTGAATGTTGACATGAACGCGCTTAAAAAACAATAAGAAGATGGCAGCTAGTGAATTGGTGGCCAAACTTTCACATTGACATTAGGTAAAGTTTTAAATATGTTGCCAACCTGACAAAAAAGCATAAACATTAATAGTCGCTCGATAGTTTCGTGTACCTCGGGCAGTTTCGCAGGTGCTTGAGTTCGCCATAATGTCTCGATCCCGAAAACGCCGACGGCTAAATCTTTTATTAAGAGCGAATCCCGTGTCCGGGCCATTGTAGCTTCGGCGGGCGTGGTGCTGACATAAATCCAAGGTGGTTCTGTGAACATGTCCGTGCATTACAGACTAGTACAGGTGCAGACTCCACATGTACAGTGTTCATCTCTGGTATCTATGACGAGTATCGCACACGAAAGGCTGCCATAACAAGTAGTATATAATAAAATTATTGAAATACCCAGAGTAACGCACTATGTCCACTGGGTGGTGCCAATGTGGGTTACATAATGACGGATGCGTATATACCTGGTCGCCGATGTATGCTCTACTGGATTGGTCAGCGGTGGGGCATTGCGGTGGTGTCGACATTTGAATGTATTTGTGATACATAACTAGTGAACCTCGTTACGTCGAATTTTTGCAATGACGTCCTTCGGCAGCTCGCGGTTGGGGCGCCTGTAGAGTTTCACCTCCCTTTCCACTTTTCTAATCCGTTTGGCCTGGTCTTCGGTCCTAAGGGTGTGGGCTTTCCGCCTTCGGTACTCGTCGATGCCGCAGATTGTTGTGGAGAAACGCAACCGGGTATTGGAGAGCACAACGGCGACGACGACGGTGACGGCGATGGCGATACGACATATCTGCTTGCCCGAGATGTTGAGGGCTGGGGCTCTTGTAGTCGCGCCGGCATGGTCGCAGCCAGTATGGTATCATAGAGCGCGACATTGGCAGCAGTGGGCACCTGTCAGTACATACGTGGAGTAGAATACGTCGTATAAGTTTGCAATATGAATATTCAATATGTCTTTGTAGTGTAGTGCTTAACGTGTGAAAGGCTGGTGTTATACAGTGTTTCTATAATTGATTGTAGGGTCGAAGTAGATCATGGAAATGTGCCGCCTTTCAGTTTTAGACTTTACTAAATGCCCAAGGACGCATGACAAATACCACACGTATTTGTATAACTGGTTGCCTAAATCCTTCATATCTTATTAAAAAATATATAAAACCAATTCATTACAATAAAAAGCAACAAATTTATTGCAGTTAAACATCACAGTAAATGTTGAAAATGTTCAGCATTTTGTTCAAGGCACATGTTCACTGTCTTTTTCATTTCAAAAATGTTCTGTAATCCTCCCATTGTTCACTTTCATGTTGCAACAGGAACTCCTGACTGCTGAGGAAATTTTGTCAAAGATGTTTGCGAATTCTGCTCAAATCGTCTCAAATCATCAACAACTTCCTCAGATACTGAAAGTCTTTCAGGACATTTCCCTTTGTTGACACCGCCAGTTCGAACAAATCTGTTGATTACATCTCTAATGTGAGCCTCTAAGGATGGTTCTTAAATTATTAAATCACGGTATTTTGCCAGATATTCTTGCTTACAAGCGGTTACAGAATGCAAACACTCTTTGTTTACGGATGTCCCATTGCGATAGCAAGACAACAATGAAAGTGTCTTGTTCAACAGAATAAACAATTTTTGCGGTTTTCGCTTCCTAGCACAAAAACAACATTTTCGTACGCAACACCAAGAGTTTTGAAAACGACTGTTTTTTTGTTTTGAGCTTGGATGAACGAGAATTACTACATAACTCTGAATTACAATTCACACTTGAAAAATGATAAAACAAAAAAACGATGACTACATGACAGGTTACAAATGACATTAATGACAAGTGAGCATTGTCACAATGAGGCATAATTTCAGCGAAGCGGGATTTTAAAAATCCGTGGCCAACTACGCCTGTATAAAAGCCCTGTACAAGCGCAATGTAGTCGATATCAGCGTCCAGAATAGGCTAGATATGCACTCGACATGTCGAGTTATATTTTGTCCATTTTTTCTTAATATACGAAGTCGTCTTTACCCAATAACTATCCTGTTGTAGAAAGAAAACTCTATATATTATGAAAAAACAATAAAAATGAAGCCCCACCCACCCGCCCCGATCTCAATTGTGATGACTTTTTCATTCCTAATCAGACCGGTGACATCAATATTTCTCTAAAAAATTTTACCCTTTAAAAACATATTTCATCTGGTAATTTCTTCTAGAGAAATGAAGATTTTGCAACTAAACTCCGCCCTTCAGCTCACGATGAATAAACTATTCATCACAATTTAGAAGGGGTGGGTGAGCGGGGCTTACATTTTGTCCATTTTTTTCTTAATATACGAAGTCGTCTATTTCCAACAAGAAACTGAACACATGTTTAACTATCCTGTTGTAGAAAGAAAACTCTATATATTAAGAAAAAACAAAAAAATATTAAGCCCCACCCACCCGCCCCAATCTCAATTGTGGTAAATTTTTAAAGGCGGAGTTTATTTGTAACATCAATATTTCTCTAAAAAATTCTGCCCTTTTAAAAACATCTTTTATATGGTAATTTCATGCAGAGAAATGAGGATTTTGCAACTAAACTCCGCCCTTCAGCTCACGATGAATAAAATATTCATCACAATAGAGAATCGGTGGGTGGGCGGGGCTTATATTTTGTCTATTTTTTCTTAGTATATGAAGTCTTCTTTTCCTAACAAGAAACTGACAATATGTGTAACTATCTTGTTGTATAAAAAATTCTATATAGCAAGAAAAAATAAAAAAATATTAAGCCCCACCCACCCGCCCGATCTCAATTGTGATCATTTTTTTATTCCTAATCAGACCGGTGACATCAATATTTCTCTAAAAAATTTTACCCTTTAAAAACGTATTTCATATGGTAATTTCTTCTAGAGAAATGAAGATTTTGCAACTAAACTCCGCCCTATATTTTGTCCATTTTTTCTTAATAGTCGAAGTCCTCTTTTCCGAACAAGTAGTAGAACTAGTAACATGCGGCGAGGTCAGGTATAGAACGGGTGGTTGAATGATTGAGTGAGTCACAAAGTACTCGGTCAGTGTAGAATTGGGTTAACGTATCGCTGACGTCCAAGGGTGTTCAGAATTTCCGTTGTGGAGGTTGTCGTGTGGTCGGGTTTTAGCACGGTTCGTGTGTCCATTAACGAAGGTTAGGCTTACCAGTTTTCGTTTTTTCGGTGGTAGAGCTAATGCTTCTTGGGATTGGCCTAGTGATGTCCCCGAAGAAGTAGTATGGTCTACTGGACATGCAAGCACTGCGCGGACTCCTTTGCCTCGTCGAAGTCTTTGCACTTCGTCTAAGGTCTCTGTCAAACAGTATCTGGATTACCACGTATCAGTACATGCATTGCACTAAATTAAGCGTCCTTTTCAAACTAAGTACAATGACATTAACATAATGTCAAAATTTCTATTCGTTTTCAGGATATACAGCCGCGGCAGTTCATCGCAAACACCTATGTATATATCTTGACAGATGCGTTTAATGCACAATAGTGTAGACAAATAATAGACAATTAACGAAACCACGTTCCGTAGAACGTACAGCACGCAAAAAGTAAAAAAACTGTTATACCTATGGAAACATAAATATAATGCAGTGTCCCTATTGGCGATTGTGTACCCTAACGTAAAATACGTTGTACGGAACGTAATTTCGCTAATTGTCTAATATCTGCGTCGTTATGTAAATAATCAACCTTTCGAGTAAGCTTTGTACTTTTATAGGATTAAATAAGTAATCCAATTCTTTTATTCTATTAGCTACATTGTACTGGCAATTAATTTATACTCCTATTTATAATTAGTTCCCAAAGTATATTATGCGTCATTGGAAAGGTACATTTTGCGCTGTGGTCTGAATTCATTACACTTCGACCACTTGTTACGGTAGTTACACCGGGTTAATCTAATGTATGTTTGGAAGTGGTACTTACCACCCACCCACAAAGAATGGTGACCCAACGGATCCAGCCTTCCCTATTTTGGCATTTATACGGGCCCTGAATATGGGAAAACAAGTTTTGTACATACGTTCACTAAGGGGATGATGTCCTCAACTTTGGAACGTACAAAGACTACAGCCGCATATATCTATAACGCATAGATATTAATAATAATCGTTAACAAGTCGTACCGAACGCGTCTGCACTCATTACTTACCTTGCTCGATTTACCAGTGTTAAGCGGGATATCATAATCGTGAGATTTTTTTGGTGTCCGAGGGTGTGTTTTTTGATGTACACTGATTCGTTCTCTTTTCTTTGGTACACACATCGCTACAGTTCAACCGCTCTGAGATGGCGAGTCCCGGCGCATTCCGAACTCGGCTTCGGTCATAGTCGAGAAGCAGCTTTACAATTCAGTGGTGTAGTGATGTTACGGTTCACGCCGGAGGCAATGGTCGTGTATAAGTGTAAATATGTTATTTACTAAGCCTCTGGATTCTTTTCTATTTCCTGCCGTGGGTTTGCCACCTCGCATTCAGGCTCTCGTCATCTAAGAGCGGTTTAATTGTACTTCATAATATCTTTTGCTATACAGGCTAAAATCTTTAATTTGTAATAGTAATAGGCTAATAGTGTTGTGTTATTTTCATCATGATGAGTTGGGTGAAAAGTATGTATTTTCGCACTATTTTTTGTGAATATTGCTTCGTCCTGACAGCAACTTCTCAATGAACTTTTTTATTTTTTTGGCAGATCCATTCACAAAAGCATATTCTGTGTGAAGGTCTTCAGGTTTCAAATGCTGAACCCGTTGTATGTGGTAAGGGTACAAACCTTGTGTATGTGGAATTCTCCATATCACAAATGGCGAAACTTCCACTGGGTATAATAATCGTCTAATTCTTATCTCTCGATTGTCTTAAAATTTGCCGTTTTCTCGTAGATGCTAAACAACGTTTCGTGGTATAAACATTGCGCTACCAGGAAATTTCCTAACGCTTGCTCGTATATTAGGACTATCATATTTTTTCAAGATTAAAAGTTACGAAAAATTACTTAAACGTCGTATGCTTTTATGATCATTGTTCTTAAGCAAGTATTTTTCAATTTTACCGTTTTTATAATTAATTATATTTGTTACTATGGTATTCGCGTTTATTTCTCACTGTTCTACATTATTTACATTTTGTAAATAATGTTTGCAATTAATTTTGTTTAGGAAACTAAAGGATTTTTATTAGAGCAATTTTTGGTGTGTTGTTACAATAAATCATGACCAATGACCATAAAAAGGTTTCTTTGCGATTCAAAAACACCTTTCATGACGAGAAGTAGTATTGGGCTTAAAACGGACCCTTGGGTCACACTAGATAATACCTTCGCCTTGGTTGAGAAAACTAAACTTATTTTTATGTTAAAACTACAGTCTACTACAGTTTATGATGAGGAACTTGATTTAAAGTATTGTCTAAATCTAAATAAATGGTGTCAACGAGCATATTTACTTCTAAAGATAACGTCCATTTATTTAGATACTGATGGACCTTTTAGGCAACAACCCAAGCTGTTTTAATAAAATAATGCCCTTCTCGTGCAAGAATCGAAAGAGATTCCTCCATAATATTACAATAGACAGATGTGGAGTGGTCCATATTCTCTAATGGGCCAATTTCAAGTTGGATTTACAATTTCACAAGTTCCCGTTGCCATGGAAGATGCGATGACAACAGTCGCGATAACAAATCAAATTGCGAATCGCAACAACTGTCATCGCAATTATCATAGCAACGGCACTTGCAATTTCGCAAATCCAACTTAAAATTACCCCTTAAGTTTATATGGTAGCATTATAGTTTCTAACACTAGTAAAAGGATGACAGAGATATATTGCTTTACAGTTAATTTTGTTGAATTATTATCATTAATAATTATAAAATAATTTTGACTAAAACTTACTATAAAAATACTATAAAGTACATATAAATAATTTAATAAAATTCATTTGATCCAAATGTTGGAATAGTCATTTAAATGATCTTTATAGTACTAAGAACGGTTTCTAGGAATATCAAACAGATGGGATACAAGAGTTTCAGAAAGCATCGTGCGCAAAAATTGAAGCCTGAGGACGACTTCTTACGTACGGAGTTTTGCGAGAATCTGGGCCGCTGGAGGCTTTTTGAGGAATATTTGTTTCATTGACGAAATGTCCATTTGGTATTTTTACGTAAGTTATAATCGTCAGAATCATCGAATTTGTGCATTACAGAACCCTTAAGAGGTTCATGAGCATCGAGATTAGTGGCGTGCAACTGTCAATGTGTGGCTGGCGCTTCTAGGGCATCATGTGTTTGTTCATCGAATATGGATTGAATGCTCAGCAGTGGCGGCTCGTGAAGTTTTCTTCAGAGGAGGCTCAAATTTGAAAAGCACTACTTTTTATATCTTTCATTATCTGAATAATTTTTTTTGCCATCTTCACGGAAAGAACACTCCTGCATTGATAGATAAACTATTGCATCGATTAGTCTTTTTAAAATTGCCCTATTTTCACCAACTTTCTCGTTATAGTTCTCAATATCCCTCTTATGAGCGGAATCTAAAGTAGTAGAAGAAATATATGTCTTTCTGTGATTTTTCATGTCTTTCTACAGCTCGTGAAAAATTTTGTAAATTATTATAGACTGTTTTATCTCAGACGGAAGATTTATCAACACACACTTCCAACAGTATAATTTGTGTCTTAAAACCGAAGCCGTTAACCATTTAGTTTTATTATAATTATTTGGATGAAATGCTCTGTTGTGCTTTCTACCTGTCATTACCATTATTGGGAGTGGTGGTGTTGGTCTCCCCTTTTGTTTTATAGCTATTTTTTTATCACAATCAAAGCTACTAAATTCATTTTTTAATAGATAATTTACGTATCTGCACATGAGACTGAATTATTTTCGTTGTTCAAACTTTTAAAAAGTTGTGCTACAAATCTTTTTCGTCCCATCTGCATACTTATTAATCAGTCTTTTCAATCAGGTGTATTACCTCTTGATTGGAAAACAGCGACTGTGACTCCTATTTTTAAAGCGGGAGATAAATTTGATGCGTCAAACTATTGACCTGTAAGTTTAACATCTGTTGTGGTAAAAATTATGGAGTCGATCATTTACGATAAAACGATAAATTTTCTTATGGAATGCAAAATCATACCATGTGAACAGCATGGTTTTTGGCCGGGAAAATCTATAAATACCAATATGTTATGCTGCCTTGATGAGTGGACCCGGGCTCTTGATATGGGCAAAAGTGTTGATGTGGCATATTTTGATTTTTCGAAGGCCTTAGACCGTGTACCTAGACGATACTTATTATATAAGTTACGATATTTTGGAATACAAGGTAAACTTCTTCGTTGTATCGATGCTTTCCTTACTGATCGCTCTTTTAACGTAAAAATAGGAGGTGCTTTGAGTGTTGCAGTTCAAGTAATTAGTAGTGTACCTCAAGGGTCGGTACCACTTCTTTTTCTAGTTTATACCGCTGACCTGAAGTTCTCTATAAACTCTCACTTTGCAATGTACGCGGACGATCTTAAAATTTATAATGAAAGTTGCAATCAGCTTATTATGACAAATGACATCTCAGCTGTTCTTAAATGGTCAGAACAATGGGCTTTACCATTACATAGAGACAAGTGTACCATTTTATATCTAGGTTCTAAAAATTGTAAGCACACATATCGCATGGGAGGTGCGGAACTCAAAAAATTAGAATCATATATATTTAGATTTAGGTATCTTGGTAACATCTAAACTTTCATGGTCAGAGCATGTTATGCGTATCACAAAAAAAGCTAACAAGATGGTATACCTGCAAAGTAAGGCATTCTACAGTACAAATATTACGGTAGCTGTTAAATTATACAAAACTTATGTAGGACCCATAATCGAGTTTGGCCATAGTGTTTGGACACCAGTGTTACAGAAGGATGTAACTTTACTAGAAAATGTCCAGCGTCGAGCAACAGAATTACCCTTTCGACGAAATAGGCCTGGATATCTTGACAGACTATCTATGATGAAACTGCCAACGCTTGCTGAAAGACGCGTAAGAGGAGACGTTATTGCAACGTTTCAAGCACTTACGAACGTGAACTCTCCAATTAAACATTTATTCAGTTTAAATACGGACACCAGGACTAGAGGTCATAATTTCAAACTCTTGAAGGATAAATTCAACTCCACCATAACGCAGTATTTTATAACAAATAGATTGTTCGATGCATGGAATTCGTTGTCTGCTGAAGTGGTCCAGAGTCAAACGTTGCTAGGTTTTAAGGCCAAGTATGATTCCTATTGTAGTCACCAACATTTGTAATGTTTATATTTTTTTATACTGTTTGTTATTTAAGTTACAATGCATAGTAGTAATTGTACGCGGGCATAATAGGCAGCTGCCTCTGCCCGATCGTATAATAAATAATAATAATAATAATAATAATAATTCTCATTAAGTATAAGTAATATTAATATGCCGATAATACCAGCTGTTTTTAACGATCGGAAATAAAACGCAAATAAATGATACAAAAAAAACCACTCACCACTGAATAGGGAGCACGCGAAACCACCTCAATATTTTTCATATTTACACCTGTTCGCGCCAATTAATAAGAAAGAGGTAAAATTATCCGTGGGACTTGATTTGAAAAGAGATGAACTAGCCGGAGGCTAGCAGCCTGAAGGGGCACCCCGATCAACGTTTTAACCAATGCAGTACAGAATGACGATGCGTCAAGGTTACGGTTTCAATAGTAAGATGCATTCTCGGCGAAGGCTAGCCTTTACCGCTGAAGCCAACCCCGGAGTGGTGTGAATTATGATTGTAAAGCCCGGTACACACTTGAGCGCACATGCAGTGAGAACGCATGAGACGTGCGTGCGTTCTCTAGTGTGGACGGGCTTCTCACTTTTTCTCAACGCATGTACAGCAAACCCAGCAAGTGATGGCGAGCGGTGGGGGTGCGCACTTGACGCATTTGTAAACTCATCCCACCCAGCACAGTATACTAAGAGAGTTCAGTGGCGTACATAAGATTTTTTGTTAGTAAACGATGGTCTCTGCGAACCGCAAACCCGTTATTAAAAGTCAAGCTCGTGAAATTGTGTACAATGTATTTAATTATTTTAAGAATTTAAAAACTGAAACGGAATCTTTACAAGCGATTAAAGAGAAGACTTCTGAAGCAACAGGTAAGCCATATGGAAACCAAAATTAAAAAAAAAAACAGTTTTTTTTAAATAAATAGTATTGCATTGGCATATAAGTTTGTAGCATATTTGTAATTACGTGTATGTCGTGCTATAGGTGTCTCAGTAAGAACGATTGAGAGAATTGCTAAAGAAGGGAAAACGTTTGGGGAAGCTAGCGGACAGGTAAAGTTTGCCAGTCCAAGAAAAAAACGTCCCAGAAAATCGGCATGAAACATTTTCGGGGTTTAAATAGACCCATTGTATACCTGGATGAAACCTACCTGCACAGTGGTCATACTTCTTCCAAGAATTGGACAGACGACTCAACAAAAGGATTATTTTCAAATATATCCAAGGGACAACGTTTAATTATGGTACACGCAGGCGGAGACATGGGATTTATACCCAATGCTTTATTAATATTTAAGTCCGGGACGAAGAGTGGTGATTATCATTCGGAAATGAATGGTAACAACTATGGAAAGTGGCTGGAACAAAAATTGCTTCCCAATTTACCTCCAAACTCAGTGGTGGTTACGGACAACGCACCATATCACAACGTCCAAGAAAGTCCTGCTCCTACATCCAACTCTAAGAAGGCAGATATGGTTCAGTGGTTGACTGATAAGAAACTACCATTTCAGCCAACCATGTTGAAGCCGCAGTTATACGAAATCGTAAAATCGTATAAAAAACGCTATATTACATATAAATTTGATACTATATTAACAAACCATGGACACACGGTGGTACGGCTGCCCCCATACCATCCCGATCTCAATCCTATTGAGTTGATTTGGGCAACAATAAAAAATAATGTGGGCAGAAAAAATGTGACATTTAAAATGGACGACGTTCAAGAACTTGCACAACATGAATTTGCAGGTATCACGGCTGAAGAGTGGCAAAAGCGGTGTAGACATGTAGTAGAATTGGAAGACAAGTACCTAGAAAACGAAGTTTTCGTCGATAGGCAGAGTGAAGTTAATGACCTTATTATTAATTTGGAAGACAGCAGCGATAGTGACCATAGTGACCTGTACTACGACAGTGATTAAACACCATTTGCAAATTACAGTAACTATGTTTGTATGTTTTATGCATCAATAATAAATAAACTGATTTATTTCATTCTACAAATTCTGTTTGTTATTTCCAATAAATTAATTTTGCAATGAATTTTTTTGTCAACGTATTTAATTTCACAAATACTGAAGATTTCATTATATAACAAAGTGTCACGCCACTGGAACTACCCTTCCACTGCGCCCCTGTGACGTCAGCTGCGCACTTGTACCCCCACCGCTCGCCATCACTTGCTGGGTTTGCTGTATTTCTCATGAGACACTTTGAGCGGACATGAAGCGAGCCAAAACCTGTCGGTCTTTTGACACTTCTCAAAGGACTCAACGCATGCGTGTGTTCTCAGTGTGGATGCATAAGTATGTACTTTTTTTTAAATCTTTTTTGGACCAACTAAATTCAGTAGCATGCGATTTTTTTTTTAATGTTCGATATCTTCTATTACTATGGACTACAGAAAATTGGAACTATTTTTTTTACTATTATCTAGCGGCCTAATCGAGTATCGTCTATTTTTCTTTTTTAATAAAAGTTTATGAATTATGACTAATGTTGAAAGCTGCCCCTGCAATGATCACTTCATCTCACATCTTTACTTCGAATTCTGTGTGTTCGCACATACTGAGCCTTGCCGAGAACGCACGTATGTGTTTAAATAAAAATACCAAAATAGATATGGTACCTGAGAGCGCATGCACGTTCGTGTGTTCTCATTGCATGTGCGCTCCAGTGTGTACCCGGCTTAAGGGCGTAAATATAATTTTTTCGACATTTTAACCTAATATATGATGAAAGTAAATTAATCAAACAAATATTCTGAAAAGTAACAAATGTCTACAAAAATACAAATTTTTTCATTGAAAAAATTAGAGGAAGCTCAGCTCCAAAAAATAGAGGGAGCTCAGCCTTTTCTGTCTCCTCTGAGGAGCCGCCACTGATGCTCGGACGACAATATGCTAACTCAGCAAATACTTTCTGGGATTCGAAAGATGATGCTGGCAGGTCATTTAGATGCAGGACGGAGTCCCGAACCATACAGTTCTCATAAATGTTAGTTATTTGAACCAGTATTTTTGGATTGCATTCGTATTTTTGGCCTGCTCGTTCCTCGGATTTAAATCCCTGTGATTTTTTCTTTGGGCGTTTCTTCATGATCGTCTGTATTCAAATAATACCAACTATGCAAACAAAGACGCGCTAAAATATGTAATCCAACAATATTGCCTTCTGATTGCAGTTCAAATACTGATCAACACGCTCAGGAGTTTTGAAGGGCGACCTTTTTAAGCAATTCTTGTAAATACTGCAATACTTTTATTTAAATGCCTTCTTTATTAAAAGATTCTTTTCAAAACCACCAGCTGTTGTTTTAATGATAAATCTTATAATTACATGATAAGAAGAAGCAGGCCCTCGCTTTTTCACTTAATGGCAATGGAATTTTAATGAGATTTTAGTAATAAAAATAAAATATTTTTTTCAAATATTGTTTTGTCCTACAATAATCATCACACTGAACAAAATAATTCCATTTGCATTGTTCACTGATAGCTTGACGGGACCCCAGGACGTGTTCATGATGCTGCCGATAGAGGCATTGAGGAATACGAGCTGCTCGAAGGGCTTCATCTCGGGCTTCTTGGATATGGCCTGAGTGTAAGCGGAGATGGCTCGTATGCACCGATAAGGGACCAATTTGTGCATTTATTCCGTTTAATTTGTCCTTCAATAATCATCACACTTGATAAAATAGTTCAATTTGAGTTGTTCTGAGTGGGAATCGAGAAATAATTTCTAAATTCACTTTGGAATTTCGATTTTCCATGGCTAACCCAAAAACGCGATCGTCGAACTGAGACAGTGAATGGGCGCAATGCAACGATCTGAAAAAAATGCTGGTCGATAGCCCTCGTTTACCTCCACAAATACATCGTTCAATAACAGCTTTAAAGTGGTTTGGGGAGATATTATGAAATAAAAACCAATTCCCCATGTTAATTTCTTATGTTCAAACTTGGATGCGGCACCCTGTATAAATAACTCTAATTCGCGGTATGCACAAAAGTGTAACGACACGCCTCTGCGACATCCCCTCTTGGAAATTTGATATCACTTTAATTTTATTAAAATAACTAATCGGTGGCATACTCGGGGTTAAATTAAATTTTGTAATATTTACGTCAGTCAACATGATAATTCATCACGGAAACAAAACACCGACTACAGTGAATTTTTGTGAATTTACGTGAATTGTGTGGACAAAATTTACTGTCTCCAACTGTAACATGTCTGTAACATCATTCGCGCTCCTAAGAGTTATTCAGGACTTGCATTCATGCAAATATTGTCTAGCACTGTTCAAAGCGCATATCGCTTGTGGGTGCACAACCGACAGCCTACATATTAAACAGCATCTGTTTTACATCTGTGTAGTAGACTGTAGAGACAACATAATTTGAGTCTGCCGAACCCGAGGATTATACGTCAGAAACTACTTTAACATACTAGAACAATAAAATCATTTTATTGGCCAGAAATAATAAAAATAAAAATAAAGAGCAAATTCTTTGGTGAGGCACTGTCTCACCTGCCTCAAATCAAGCTGCCCTTGCTGATACCCTAAATTTTGGATGGTAGATAATAAATCGTACTCAACCCAGACAACGCTGTTTCGTAATCCAACGTCACGCGACCGTTGGCCATTACACCCTTCCATTTCCTACATGAAAGTCCGGGTTTAATAAAAAAAATTCAAGGTCACTTGTCAGATTTAATAAATTACTTAAGTAATCTTAACCCTAATCAGTCATTTGTTGAAACGCAGTCTTGGAAAAAGGCCCCTTGAAGTTCGTCAGCAGATAAAACTGTCCTCGGGTTCGACTACAAAAAAAGTAAAGAAGTCAGAAAAAAGATTGATAGGGGGCGCGACTATTACTTGTTATTGGCGTAGCCCATCACACTGTCTTTCGTAAAATTGCACTTCTTGTTGGGTCCTCGCCAAGTCTGGCATCGTGTTGCCGGAAACGCGTCCGGGTTCACCACAGATTCAGCGTACAGTTTCCAGGCCCTCACGTGACTGCAGCCAACTAAAAATAAAAATTTGTCGGGGTTATTATATGGGTCGGCCTCACAGACATGGGAATCAATCTAGAAGCCATCCATCAAACCAAAGAGCGGAGCTATCGCACGATCCGCTGAGCTTTTGTCGTCGGTTAAGATAGCCGTAAAAGGAATCTTTGTGCGGAATCGAAAATATTTGGATTTGGAGTTGACTGTGAATAACAGACTACTATAGAGCTAAAATATTTTCGATTGTATAGTGCGTTATGTCAATAGTTTGTTTTCATTGAAGCTAAATGTAATTCGACTTAAATTGCTCTTGTACTAAGTAGAATTTTCATAATAGATGTTGTTCGTAACTCGTAGTGGATGTCTAGGGGACGAAAATTTATTATTGATATTCAGTTTAGATTCTTCCCGTGCCTGTGGCTAGTCTGCGTTAATTACAAATTTGATCTACTAGTCGAAGCTGGACCAAGTAACTGGGCTGACATCCGGGCTGCAGGGCTCGGCCTCCGTTTGGGTAGAAATCGGCATGACCCACTGGGATGGGTAGGCCCAAGACGCCGGCGTCGGTGTGGATAACGTCGATGTAATCAGCGTCGGTGCGTGATATGCGCCTCGAAGAATCTGCAAGTGGGCATTATATGGTTTCGTTATAATTGCTTCGAACGGCTTCTAATAAAATGTGTCTTCTGATAAAAACTTTTAAAAACATATGACAAACATTAATTGATGAAAAAGTCGACGTGGATGGATACAGGAAGGTGTGAAGAAGCGAAACAAACAAAAAATAGAAAGAAATAATAAAAAAGAATCTGATGCAAAAGTTACTGTGAAAAGTGCTTTGGAACAGGAAGTGTTTTCGAACGGAACATTAATGGTGCAACATTTTCTGAAAGTATAGTATTTTACAAACTCTAATATTATACTGCACTTTAACTCCAATAGCGAGCCGATTACTACTTAGTAGCTCCTGTCGAGAAAATATTTTTTCAGTGAGGATATTGTCAAATCTACGTTTCCTAACCATTCCTGACGTTAGTATGATCTAGAACCTATTTTTTACATTTGTGTCTATAAAGTAAAAACCTGTGGCGTAAATAACAACTCCGAAAAATTGAAAAATGGTAAATTGAAAAATAAAAAAAAAATAATTGGATTATCGAAAAATCGAAAAAATAGAAAAACCTTTCGGAAAGCCAAAAAATCGAAAATTGAAAAATCGAAAAACTGAAGAATGGAATTAAAAATTTAAGAAGTCGAAAATCAAAAGCTCGAGAAGCAAAAAATCGAAAAGTAACAAATTGAAAAGTCTAAAAACTAAAGATTGAAAAAATTAAAAATTCTAAGATTCAAAAAACTGAAAATCGGGAATTAAAATTATCGAAAATTTGAAAAATAGAAGAATTAAAAATTGAAAAATCGAGAAATCAAAAAGGATATAAATTGAAAATCAAAAAATCGAAAATTCCATGAATCAAATCTTCGGAAAAACGGAAATGAAAAATCTAAAAATCGGGAATCGAAAAACCGAAAAACCAAACATTTGAAAATCGAGAAATTGAAATTTAAAAAATTCGAATATCAAAAAATCGAAAATTGGAACAGTATCAATCGAAATTTCTAAAACTGAAAATCTGAAAAATCAAAAATCGAAAAACGGAGAAATCGAAACATCGAAAAATTGAAGCATCGAGAAATTGAAACATCAAAAGACCGCGAAATGGAAACATCAAAGGCCCGAAAAATCGAGAAAATGAAAAGTCGAGATGTCGAGGAATTGACAAACCCAAAAATCTGAAGTTCAAATATCGAAAACTTGAAAAATCGAGAAAACATTAAAAAATCGTAAAATTGAAAAATCTAAAATGTAAGATTTAAAACAAGCAAAAAATCGAAAATTTGAAAAATCGAAGAATTAAAAAATTGAAAAATCGAGGTATGCATCAAAAAGGAAATAAATTGAAAATTCGATGAATCAAATATTCGGAAAAACGAAAATCGGAAATCTAAAAATCCAAAAAACGAAAAATCAAAATTTGAAAATCGAGATTTCGAAAAATGCAAAAATCCAAGAAAGAAGGAAGTCGAAAATTGAAAAAACTAAAAACAAAGAATCGAAAAATCGAAAAATGGAAAAATTGAAAAATGGAGAAATTGAAATTAAAAAAATTGTGAATACGAAAAAATCGAAGATTGGAAAAACGTATAAATCGACATTTCGAAAACTGAAAATTACAAAAAAAAAGGCTGAAAAGTCAAAAATCGAAAAATCGTCATGAATAGACCGAAAAATCGAGAAAACGAAAAATCTAAAATTAATATGTCAATAAATTGAAAAATCGTGCAATGGAAAAATTCCAAAAATTAAAGGTCTCGAAAGGTGAGAAATCCAAAACATGAAAAATCAAGAAATAGAATAATTTTAAACTTTGAAAAACTGAGAAGGCAAGAAATGAAAATTTCGAAAAATCGTAAAATCGAAAAATTAGAAAACTAAAAAATCGTGAAATCGAAATATTGAAAAATCTAAAAATTTAGGATTCAAAAAATCGAAAGATCGAAAAAATGAAAAATTAAAAAAAAATGGGCAATCGAGAAATCGAAAAATCTGAAATTTAAATAATCGAAAAATCAAAAAATTGAAACAAAAAGTTGAGGAACTGCAAAATCCCAAAACTGAAATCTAGAAAAATTGGGAAATCGAAAAATTGAAAAATCGAAAGTCGAGCAATTGGAAAAGTTGAGAAGTCAAAAACTGAAAAATCGAAAAATCAAAATAGCCCAAAATCGAAAAATAGAAAATTAAAATTAGAAAAATCGAAAAATTTAAATAAAAAAAAAATTGAAAAATAGAAAATCTGATAATTAAAAAATTCGGAAACCAGGAAATCGAAAAATGTAAAATTTAGGAAATGAAAAAATTAAAGAATCAAAAAATTGTAAAATCCCAAAAGTCAAATATCAAAAAATTAGACCATCGATAAATCGAAAAATTAAAAACTCGAAAAACTGAAAAATCAAAGAACTGAAAAATCCGAAAACTGAAACATCGAAAAATTGTTAATTCGAAAACCCGCAAAATAGAAAATTTCAAAACTCAAAAAATTGTAGAATTGAAAATCTGAAAATCGAAAAATTGAAAAATCGAGAAGTCGAGAAAATTGTAAAACTGAAGTATCAGAAATAAAGTGAATTCAAAAAGAATCAGGAAATCGTAAAGTTAAAGTTAAAGCGAGAAACTGAAGAACCAAAAAATTGAAAAAACTCAAAAATGAAATATCGAAAAATTGAAAACCGGGAAATTAAAAAACAGGAACATCAAGAAATTGAAAAATCAATTTTTAAATTTTTCGATTTTTCAATTCGAAAAATTTAAAAATCATAGGACTAAAAAATCCCAAAACTGAAATATTGAGAAATCGAGAAATCGAAAAATTTTAAACATTGATAAACCAAGAAGTCGAGAAATGGAAAATTCAAAAAATCGTAAAATCGAAGAATTAAAAAAATTGTGTACTCGAAAAATTGAAGAATCGCAAAGTATAACATTTAACAAAATGAAAAACCGAAAAATAGAAAAACTAAAAAATCGAAAAATCGATAAACCGAGAAATCGAACCATCGATCAATTGGAAAAGTCAAAAATTGAAATATTGAGGAATTAAAATATACCAAAATCGAGAAATCGAAAATTACAACTTGAAAAATTGAAATATTTAATTAAAAAAGCAAATGCTGAAAAACTTAGAAACCGAAGAATTAAAAAAGTGAGAAACCGAGAAAACGAAAAATCTAAACTTTAATAAATGAAAAATTAGAATATCAAGAAACTGAAGAAACAAAAATTGGAAATTCCTAAAACTCAAATATTGAAAAAATTAAATGAAAAAATTAAACGAAAAATTGAGAAATCGAGAAATCGAAAAATCTAAAATTGAAGAAATCAAAAAATTTTAAAAATCGAATAATTGAAAAATTGAAGAAAAAGTGAAGAATCGAAAACCTGAAAAGCTTCAAAATTGAAACATTGAAAAATTGAGAAATCAAAACCGAAAATTGAGAAACCGTAAAATTGAAATAACAGAAAAAAGAGAAACAGAAAAATACAAAAATCGAGGATTTGAAAATTAAAATATCGAGAAATTGAAGAATCGAAAAATTGAAAAATCCCAAAATTAAAATATCGAAATATTGAGTAATCGAAAAATTGAGAATCAAGAAATTGGAATATTGGAAAATTGGCAAATTAAAAAGATGAAAAATTGAAAAATCGAAAAACTAAAATATCAAAAAATTGAGAAATCAAAATTTGAAAAATCGTAAAATCGAAAAGCCGAAAAATGAAAAATTCGAAAAATTGAGAAAACGAAAAATTTTACATTTTTCTAAAAAATTCGATGTCTAGGATATAAATTCAACACACATTCATAAACCACAAGTGCAGGCGTACCTTATTTTATAAAATTTAAGTAACATTTACAAATGTAAATTTTGGAAATGACATCATTCTATTGGTGGTGAGGATGCTTAGCCAAAGTTTGGTTAGGGTTTTATCATCTACGGGAAACTCCTAATACACATACAAAATTTGACAACAGTCGGTCCATAGTTTAGAAGATTATCTGTGTAACACAAATCGACACATACGCGGACAGACGGAAACGGGAGACCTATCTGTTCGTACTCTAGGGGTCATGAAACGGCTAGAAAGCATGAAAGTAGCCAATAACCGGTTGGACTTGATTACAATACTTCCTTAGCTTCCGTTAGGGGTGTAATGCATACCTCTCAGTGAAAACTCCGGAAACGCCGGATCCAGAGCCGTAATCCTCGGTATCCTCAGACCATTCTTCAGCTGCTTCCCCGCAAACCCCGCAATATGGCACCCCAAACTGAACCCCACAATATGTAGGTTCCGAATCGGAATCTCCCCGCTGTCGGCGAAAACCTCCAGAAATTTTCTCAACTTCACCGCCACCATTTTGACGTTTCGAACGGCAGGAATGTACCAAGGGAACGTGGATAACTCAGACCAGTCCAACAGGATAACGTTGAAATTATCCTTCCGACTGAGATAGGCTGTAACATGAGTTTTTACGATCGGTTTGGGAACTTTTTGTTTTGCTTGTTGTTTGCGTACCGTCGGCTACGAAGCGTCCACTCTGGCCCGGAGAGACCTCCGAGAATCCGTGTATGAAGATGACGGTGGGCAATGTTGGGTCCACTCCCGCCCGCCGTGCGGCCCCCGGCGCGTGCGGTTCGATAATTGCACCCTTATCGCGCCTGGCCTTGGTGTAGAGCACGAAACGAACGTCCGTTCCGGATTTCACCGGACAACAGTTCGGACAAAGGCCCCTTGGGGCGAGAGTCACTTTCATCTCGTTTTCACCTGGAATTGGCAACGATTTTATCCAGTTGCTGTCAAAGGGTTTTCAATTATTACGGGCTCGACGACGTATCGGATAAAACGTGGTTGGAATTGCGAACATCATTTAGCACGAAGATAGGGTTTTTGTGGTAGGTTTGTTTATGGACAACACGGAAGATAACGCAGTTTTAGATAGTTACTTTAATGATGTGCTGGTATTGTGTTAAGTATGAATGCAACTTTGTATAGCCAGTAAAACTGTGTTATATAAGTTTTTGAAAAAGTTCTTGAAAATAATAAAAAAAGCAAACATGATTTTATTTATTAATAGGGGCTATTTATTATAAGTATTTTGCTCCTAAACGAGTTAACTCAGAGATTCTATTATTAGAGGGACTAGTTATAGGTGTTATTTCTGACACAAATAATAGGGAATTTGGAAACATTATTAATTATTGTTATTTTAATTGTAAATTTATTCAAACATTAAATGACTGCAAACCTATAGGGCAACTTAGAGTACCAAAAAGAATGTAAAGCTTACAATTATTATGAAAATATTTCCTTCATATTTTGTCCTAATAATAATAACGATAATAACAGTTTAATCCTCTACAAGTTTACACCCAATTACGGAAAAATAAATACTGTATAAAATTAAGACAGATGATGTGAAATTAAAGAAAATTATATAAATGTTAATAAATTAAACTATATACATATTATTATCCATTCACGATCTTTATATAGTAAAGTAGGCTTTGATATTTTTTCGTTGAGTTGGATAAACTGGTTTGATGATTTAGTTTTTTGTCTGTCAATAGTCTGATTGACATTTGCTTTGAGCTGGATTGCCACTTTTCTATTTCATTTATTAGATCAGAATTATTAGACGCAATTTTTTAATGAAGCAAACAAATGTTTTAATTTTGTTAGCATAGATAATTTGTCATTGTGACAGATTCACAGATCATTGCGACATTATTTAAAAAGAAAATGCCTAAAATAGTTTTACTGCAACAAAAAATTGCAATAAAAAGATGTTTTTTGCAGTTTCGAAAAGACAGACCCGATCTTTCTTTCGACGAAGTAACTATGAGGGTCTCGAACATATTTTCTGTAATGTAAAAACACGCTGTAAAATATTTTTTAATTTTTTTTCGCACAGGTGGGAATATCAACTGTGGCGAAAATTTTATCAACAGGGGACCAAAATTTAAAAACATCACTATCTGGCAAGCGAAAACCAACGGATTTATTTACAAATTATATGTTTCGGAAAGACCTGCAACGACAATTTGGCAATTTAATGAAAAAAACGAATATTTCACTGTAGATACTCTTTTGGCATATTCTAGGGAACAGTTGAAATTTAAAGGGGGGCGAACCACATTATACAAAATTCTTAAGTCAATGGGTTATAAACACAGGGAAGTAAATGGTCGCAAAATTCTATGTGAACAATAACATGTCGTTGCAGCCAAAATTACTTTTTTGAGAACATATTTACAGTTTCTAAATTCTTGTGAAAATTTGACTTTCGTGTATTTGGATGAAACATGAATCTATCAAAATGGTTCGTCCATTCGTCGCTGGGTGCACGATACTGATCTAAAAAGCAATTCCACCAACAGTAAAAGTGACGGATCAAGGTTTACTATTCTCCACGCGGGTTGTTCAACGGTGTTCTTGGATGGTTGTAAAAATTTTTTAAATTCAAAAAATAACGATAGAGACTATCATAAAATGATGGACGGAACAATTTTTCAAAATTGGGTGTTTAATCAGCTCATTCCTACTTTGGCAAAGTTGAACCAAAAATGTGTGGTGGTTTTTTCTAGTAAAAAATGTGAAATGCAGGAATGGATCTTTAAACATAGTGTTGAATTTGACAAAAAATTTTCGAAGAAACAATTGTGGGATTTAATTAAATCCTTCAGAAACAATAGAAAAAAAAGATATTTGGTAGACGAGACATTAAGAGAAAGTGGCCATGAAGTTCTTAGGTTACCTCCGTAGCATTGTTAATATAATCCAATTGAAATGGCGTGGGGATTTTGTAAGAACTATTACAACAAGCATATAAATTTTCAACCTTCATTAAAAAATAGGGTGGAGAATTTATGGGTTGTGGCGCTTTCTAAATGTACTCCAAGCATGTGGCAAAGTTTTTGTAAACATTGTGAAAAACTTGTTTTGGCAGATTGGGAAAAAAATATGGGAAATTTTTCGTACGAATCTATACCTCCTTTCATTAGTTCGCTAGGTGAATCTGATTCAGAATCTGAATTTGAAAATGACGGTGATGATACAAATTTTCATAGCGAAATAATAATGGAAATGGAGTGAATTGTAGCTTGGCGGGGGGTGATATTTTTACCCATCTTTCGTCCTAAATTTACCAAGGTAGTATGTGAAAAACTGCCTGACGTACAACAAAATAAGTATAATTTTAGTTAGATCATCTACGTTGTTACTTTGCACCAAATTTTAAGCATTTTCATTTTTTTTTTGTAACTCTTCATGGACCTGGAGAAGGCGTATAAAGCGTTTGGAAGTACTTAGTAAAAGCAAGTAAAGAGCACTTACGTAAGCATCAGTAATAGCTATATAGATAAATCATTCAATTTAAGGCCGGAAAAATGTTTCAGAAGAGCTAAACCCATCAAAGCACTAGAGCAAGGTTGTTGTCATTTACCAACCCTTTTAGTAATCTTAGAAAAGTGAAAAAAGAAGTTGGAAGATATGGAAACAGGCTGTTCACAAAGGTCGAAATTTCCATTTCTAAGAAGAGTGGGCGAGCAGGACGAACTGATGATTGAGAATTAAAGATGAGATGCTAAATGTAGCATGTGACAATAGTCGTATGTAGAACCCCCATTCATATAAAAACAATGTTTAAGTGAAATTTTAGTGTTTTGCTTGTTTTTACCTACTTACCTATATTTGATCATGCATTTTTTGCAATTTGTTGACCTATTTTATTTTTTTCAGATTATTTTTCTTTTTTAGGCCTATTTTGTTCTAAAATCTGAATTTTTTGATTGCATAGAATCTTAAGATTGAGGACATCCTAATTTATGCTATTTTATTTATTTAGTTATTTTAGTTGTACTTTTATAGGTGATTAATAGTGTTAGAACAGCTATTGGGGATATTTGAATAGCAGTAGTTGAAACTACAAATTCAAGTGGGCAATATGTTACCAACATTGTAGCGGGAAAATTGTCTGCAGAGGCAGCTGGTACACCACATTTGTTGGCATCGAAAATATTGAAAAAAAAAAACAATAATGTAACAGTGGGACGTTTTACCAAAAAATCGTTAGTTAATTCTATTCATTTATAAAAAAAAAAAACATTTTCTCCGATCGAATTGAATTAACTTCGACTTGCATTACTTCAAATTGCATTTTAGTAATGCATGGTTGCAAAGTTGCATTAACATTGTTGCACAATTAGGGCGAATTTACAACTTTGCTATGTGGTAAAGTAAGTAATCTGATGTAAACCGAACTGAAATTTGGCCTTTGACCCAATTTCTGAAATGATGATGTTAATTCAAGTATGCATAATAATCAGAATTAGGCATAGCCGAAGTGATGGGGAATCAATCAGACAAATATTAAATACGACGAAATTTAGCTAGTCGATTGTGCACTCTCATCCTCAGTTGATGCAGTTCAGGGTTTATTTGGTCAGGATTATTGCGGAAATTGTGATCTTGAACAGACATTTTTAATTTTTGATTTTTAGTTTAGTAGCTGTAGTTAAACGGAATCAATATAACGATGTCAAAAGAAAGTATTTCTTAAAGCTCATTCGAGGAACCAAGCCTTTCGGGAAGCCTCACCGGATTGTCCATTGCCTCTAGAACCTGTTATGATAAGATGAGGTTCATGGATTGCGATCATTTTGACAATATAGAAAAGGTTCGTTAATTTGGATTAATTAATATGGAATTTGACTCCACAGCGTCGAAATGCATCGCTGATGCTCAGTACTACCATTGTTTAAGTACCTATATATGTACTTAAACAATGGTACTACATATCACAAATATAATTTGGTTTATGTAAGAACCCATTTTACCATCTTAAAAACAAGTATAACTAGATCAAAGACCATTAAAAATATCCTAACAGACAAAAGGAAAAAAATTTATATTCAAAATTTTGAAAAGTATCTAACTTGTTATGGAAATTTTAAGGAAGATTAGGTTCGCTGATTGTGTAAAATAGTAAGATAAATATAGATCTCAAAGAAAACCAGACGTTACCTACTTAAAATTTATTTTTCCTAAAACTTGCCTAAAGCGCGTATTTTGCTATTTTCGGGCCTAAATCCTCCGTTTTTATCTTTTATTTTAGCACCTATTTTGGCTTTTTTAGCCTAAAATCCGCTTCTTCAAGATCACCATTATTAGCTGTTTGGTTATAATGTCCACACATCTAGAGTCCGGAATTTATGAGGTTTGCATATTGATGACTTTGCATGCTATACAACTAAATGCTTTCGGATCTAGTCGAATTAGGTAAATAGGAATTGATTGACGCATATTAAAATTTGTATATTTTGCATATATCAAGATTTTTCACATATTTTCGTATCTTTTGCATATTTTCACATATTTTAACAATTTTTAGATTTTCAAAGCATAACGCGAATTTTTTATTGCAAGTGTAGGCGTTTTTAACTTTTAAAGGTCGAAATCTACAAGACAATGTCTTTGGTTAAATTTCGAAAATTGTCAAAAACAATCGAAAATTTCAAAATGGGGTGTATTCAAAAACTGAGTTTTTGAAAAAGTTGCTTAAAAAATCTCAAACAATTCTGAGATATACATTTTGATTTGCCAATATCAGTTTTATCTTAGCAGGTGCTAACCCCGCCCACCCATCTTCTATTTCATTAGAGGGATCACATTTACCAAAAGCAGTCTTATCTTAGCAGCTATATACTAAGTTCAACTTTTTCTTACAGAGTTCTATCTTAACAGATACTAGCCCCGCCCACCGGCGC